TGGTGCAGCTTTTGCTGTGAAGTTTATGGAGGGTACGGAAGTGATTATCAATAATCGTTCGAGATTTCATAGGATTTGGTCATGGTGATGGAAAACGTTTTCGGTAAGGCGGCGAAGGGGCTTAATTTTGGGATGATAAAGAATTTTCGGCTGACCAGTACTTTAGTCATAGAGCAGCGGATTTCACACAAAAATTTAACGTAGGAGTTTACGGTCATCCATTCATTCAGAAAAGCGCCCTTAAAACCTGCCCAAAATGTAGAGACAAAATCGTTCGCCATCTGTTTAGATTCAGATAGGTGGAACAAACGCCAAAAAAGCGGAGAGTTTCGAAGATAGAACCGCGATAACCCGATGTCTATTGGTTGGACATGACGTCGCAATTACGAACGATGTCATGCTAGCTGAGTTGTCTAGGAGGTTTGCTCCTAACTACGGAGGTACCGGGTTCGATTTCTCTCGAGGGCACGTTCCGTTATATACAAATTCCTTTGAGCAGGGAATTCACAACAAATTGCCTGAGAGTGGAGTTGCTCAGTGAGTAGAACATCGAACTCAGAACCGTAGGTCCTGGGTTCAAACTTCAGTTAGGGTTATTCGCCATTCTAATATCCGATGTTGATAAAGATACCACTATGCGGGAAAGAAATAGGAGAATACACGCTATGCTAGCTACACAACGCGACTGTTCATTCTGTCTTACAGAATAAGGCACTCCTGGCTGATGACACAGAAACGGAGATCAGCAGGGGCCCACCAATCTGATGATAAAGAGTCCGCCAAATTGTCCGAATCATGAAAGTTAAGCCAGACATTTCAACGCGGACAAACTTTCCTTGATGATGCTAATGTCATGACCTGGAAGAGGAAAAAAACATGATGAATGCTTTCTCGAAGACCAGATTTCACGGCTCCCCGGGACCATTTGTGTTTGTTACAGCTATATATTTGAGTTGATAGTGCTAGCTGCTTGTCGCTTCATTTCGCCCGTTATAGCTACATCCTGCTCATCACTAACGACGCTTCATGTTCTGGTACTCTTGATATGGTACACGATAAAGATAAGTCATTAGTACGCCAGGGGATTTGAAAAACCGAATGACTCTTCCTGTTCCAAGATCAGATTCGAGGCGTAAGTCCTCAAATACCATGAAGTTGTGGCCTTAAACGATGCTCTAGACAAGTAGGAAGAAGCGGGGTGTTCAATAAGGCATGAAATTTGGATATAGATGAGTTGTTCGCATTTCCTCGAACAATTTATATTGTACACAGTGCTAACAATAACTATATATATTTATGTCAAAGAGATACTTTCGAGGGCTGTAGCTTTTTTCAGGCCTACAAAAACATGCGTGTACGATTTATTAATAATTACATATAATATATTATACGAACTGCAGCGAGTTCGGGCGTACGCATTAATAATAGCAGTACAGCTGCTATCACCTATTAATTCATAGTGCTGTTGCACATAATGTGTAGTAGTAACTGAACTAATGTTTTTACTTGCTCATAGTCCTGAATAGCGCAGTAGGCGTTTACAAGTACTGCCTGCAATGCAGTGTGATTAATAACTAAAAACAAACAACAATTAAGTATATTTCAAATAGTAAACTATAACAGTACGCGTATTAATAGTAAAATCGAATATTAATTAAAAAATAGAGTAAATCTGCTAAAGTGAGAAGTTCAGGGAATGAACAAATTCAAGCCAAGTAAAACGCGGTAAAAATCGAGATGTCAATTACATACAAATATAAATATGAAATAGAAAACTAGAGACGCAATACATAAAAATGTGGCTATGAATCTTACATAGGAAAACAATTTCATTTACATAGTTTAGTAAATAGAAATGTTGAAGTAATCAGTCAGCATGGATGTCGTCAAAATTACGAAAAACCAATAAAATATTTTAAATCGGCATTAATTTAGAACTTTGAAATTCTGGGCATAGAATTTGGCATCTGTGATCTAGGAAATCTTGAAACGAAAAGTCAAT